ATTTGAAGGCTGAATCTTTTGTTCCTGTTACCTGCCCCCATTTCACTTTCCAGGATTTATCTGATTGATGTTGTAGACATTGGGATAATTTATATTCTGTTCCATATTTTAGCTTAATTTGAATAATCCGGTTTCAGGATGAGCTGCGAGATGCTGTGTTGCTTGTATTTGCTAACAAACAAGATCTTCCCAATGCAATGAATGCTGCTGAAATTACTGATAAGCTTGGCCTCCACTCTCTCAGACAGCGTCACTGGTAATCTTTATGAGCTTCATTTCACTTTTGTGATTCATTTTTTTAACCTTTATAAGTCTAATATGGATTGTGTGGTTTTCCAGGTACATCCAGAGCACTTGTGCAACCTCTGGAGAGGGTCTATATGAGGGGCTGGATTGGCTCTCCAACAACATTGCTAACAAGGTAAACTATTTTCTATTTCACTGTTTTTAAAAATTTTGAGCATCATGGCGGCCTTTGATGTTGTTGTCTGACTTGGATGACGGTCAAATACTAAGTTTGAAAGTTGCACATAACAGTTCTTTTTGTGGAAATTCAAATAAGTAGTTAATTATTGTTTGGAACTTTGTGAGATACGACTTCACCTTCTGATTCTTATATTCCTTTTAATTGCAGGCGTGATCCTCTTGGGGAGTCATTTTGTGGACTGGAAATTCTGGATGCAGGGGTGAATATTATCTAGTTCTTTTTTTTCTTTGAGACAAGACGATCGAATTGTTGTTAAATCATCTATTTCTTCCTTCTTCTGGGAGTGGCCTTTTTCATTTAGGACGTTTTAATGGTTATATTGTGATAGAAAGAATGGTTGGTCAAATGTATACATTTGAGCTTTTGGTTGGATTTTGGATACAGTTCGGAGTTGTAATTGGATTTCAATAGATGCCTCCCTTTTTTTATTTTTATTTTTTTCAAAACTGCTCTGAGTTGTAATTGGTTTTGGTTGGATTTTGGATACATGTTTCAAATGTATACATATTTCCGAGTAATGCAAGACAACACTTGAATTAAAGGAGTTGCGTATTAATTGAGGTCCCATTATTTGGTTCCTTTGGTTTGGGTTTGGGACCCTCCAGAGGAGAAGGGAGACCTCACACTCGATAAAAATCCCATTTGTGTTCCACTTGGAAATGATAGATAGGTGAAGGTTGTACACAAATATCCCCACATAACTACAATGTGTTTTTGTTGTTGTTAATTAGTGGATCCAGGTTATGGCGTAAAGCCTAGATGACTTGAGAGAAGCTGCAGCAGAATTAAGAATTGGGTGGGCAGGGCAGTTTTCCTTCACTCATTTTTGGGCAGTCAAAAAAGTTGGAAGGCGCATTCTATGCTTGTCCGTGGAACTTTATATTTGGAGACTTCTCCTATTACATGAGAAAAATTTGTGTCAAGAGTTGGCCCAAACCTTAAAAAGTGAACCGGACCGAACCCAAACTGGTTTGGGTTGGCCCAATTCTCTCAGGTATTTTAGTCAAAATCCTAGTTGGATCAGACCGAATGAACAGTTGATTTCGGTTATGATTTAGTGAGAATCAAGCTTAATCGGACCATATCCAGACCTGTGAAACGGAGATAACACTCTTTTGCTATACCTCTCAAGTGGAAAAGTTATTACGCATAACATGTTGTGATTGGCCGGAGATAATAAAACAATGTAGGCCAAATTGAAGCTCAACTTGTAGGCCAAATTAACTCATAATAAAGAGAAGCCTCTACCAACGATGGTTGGTTCAGTTGGTAAGGTCATTGCACTGTGTGTAGCCCCACCAGTGTTCGAGTCACGCTGCCAGCAATACTTGTTGGTGTGCGATTTATAATTTCCTATATAAATTCATACCCGTGATAGTTGGTAGTTGGATACCGCGCATACGTCCTTCTAGCTGTAGGTCTGTCCTGACGCTAATTGTGAGAGTAACCAATCTCCCTGGAAACTTTAGTTCATCAAAAAAATGAAAAAGAGCCCTCTACTCTTGCTCTGCCATGCCAATTAACTTGCATTGCATGTGTATTTGAAGATTGATCAAGATTGTTGAGCAAGTACGTAAGATCCAAGCATTTTCCTTTTTCTTTTTCTTTTTCTTTTTCTTTTTCTTTCTCTTTCTCTGTTTGTCCTTCCAGTCTTCGTCCCAAAAAAAATAAAATAAAATAAAAATTTGTCCTCCCAGTCATGGTAGGCCCAATTGCCTATTCTGCTTAATTCATGGAGACATGATTCCACTTTGGTGTTTCAGGACTGGTGTGTACATATTAAGCTTATAATAAAAAAAGTAATATCAAGTGATAAATATGAATATATTACCAAGTTTTAATATCTAATTTTGGACCAAGTTTTAATATCTACTTTTGAATCATATGATTGCAGGCAGCGAATATATTAGTTTATGTTTCTTTTTTCTTTCTTTGTGCATGGTTATCCATAGATATTTTCAGATTCAGATGATATATTGTAATGTAATCAAAGGGACAGATATTTCTATTAGATAATGTTAATTAAATAAATTATAGTACTACCGACTTAATTGATCTTTTCTTTTACATTCATCTTAAGGGACTAGTTCACCTTTCTATTGTATTTCATTCAACATTGAAAAAAAAAAACCAGCGGGGTGTTAGTTTAATTGGCTTATGTCTTTGGTGTACTCCTAAGTTGTCCTGAGTTCAAAGCTCCATGACACCTGTGTATGTTAGTTCCCCCCTCTTCCCTCCTTAACTTTGACATCAAAAAAAAAGAAGGAAGATTTATTATTATACCCAATATAGGAGCCCAAATTAAAAAAAACAATCATATATGAAATGAACTTTAGAAACACACCCAAAGCTCATTTACAATATAACAAAAAAACTTTTAACTTCTTTTAAATTACAAAACTACCATTGATCTCTTAAAACAAACCCAATCCCAAAACATCATAAAAAAAAACCCAAAACACTTAATAGGGTATCAAAGTAATTTAATAGGGCCAACCAGCTGTCATTTTTTGGGTTTGTTTATAGAAATTAAATGGTGTATGGTTTATTTATAATTTTAGTGCTAAGAATGTGAATATGACTATATATCTCCAAAAAAAAAAAAAAAAAAAAAAATCAACATTGAAAACATTACATTATTATTAATTGCAATAATTTTTCTTTTTTTCTTATGTTCACATGTTGCTTTCTAAGAGCATCTCTAAGGGAGATGTCAAATGCAAAATGTTAAATTTGAATTTGATGGCTTATGTGGCAGTTTGATATTTTGGAAAAAATTTAACTCCACTCGAAATACCAAATATCATATTATTTTATTATATTTTTAAAAATAAATGGGGCCCATATGATGCATAAATTGTTAAAAAGAGTAACTGATAGTGGGATTCATGATTAAAAAATTATTAAAATAATATTTGACATCAAGCTTTTTGATATGTTAATTTTGACATATCTTTTCCGGCCTTGGTTGGAGCAACTTTAATCTTTAATTTTTTCCATTTCTTGTCCACGTGGCAATTTGACATATCGGTTGGAGATGCTCTTAAAACGTTATTCATATTTTATATATTGGAGACCTTTTTTTTTTTTTTTTCAAATATTAGCTTAAGCCAACCATTTTATTCTTATTTTAAAATCCATTTTACTCTTTGGTTCTTTTGACCACACTTACATCTGTTGAAATGTTATCGTTAAACATTCTTTTAGATTGAAGTATTACTTTCCTTTCAAGAAACATATGTATGTGAGAAATGCCATGGCAAACAAAATTTTGCTGAGTGGTGGTGTCTGCAGTAAAAGGCCAAAAGAAAAAGGAGAAACTTAAAGAAGTTCATCAAAATGATAAAGCTAACAATTAAAGAAGTTCATCAAATTGATAAAGCTAATTTAAAATTTGGTTAAATTTATGGACAAAATATATTTGGCTCCAGAGATATTTGGGTTTTAGTGAACCGATCGCCTTAAAAAAAAAAACTAGGAATCTTGTTATATTCTTGTCCTAAGCAATCTTGTTATTTTCTTTTTCTCTTCATTTTTTGTTTTTTGTTTTTGTTATAAATAATGTCGTTTGCCGATTGGTACATAGAAGAATATACTTAGGTCAATTAACACAACTCTTCCCAATGATTAAGTTAATCAATCTTTGTTAATCTTGTTAATCAAACATTCATCAACATGTTTTATTGGCATTCTAAGTTACTGAAATTCTATGATGTTTGTGTTCCACCAAAAGAAAGCATGATGTACTAATCATGTCTTAAATGTTTCACCTTAAACAAAAGAAAAATCTGGAATAGTTTGGGTTATTGAATAAGCTTTGCCCATTGACCATGACTCTCTGCTAGATTTGCATCTCATGTTTCAAATTAGTGGATGTTAAAAGAAGCCGCTGACTGAAAAACCTCCCTAAATCTGGTCGACCTCAAAATTCACTTCTATATCGAAGGTCCCACGTCAACCGACTGCTCCACCCCATTGATGCTAACTTTCTTAAACATATCTTTTCCACCAAGGAAAATGACTCCCACTTGATCATTATACCTATACATTTTTCTCAATAACAATTCATCAAATGATGTGCTTGTGTACGCGTCAAAATCTTACTCGTTAAAAATAAATGAAGTTAGAATAGAGTCAAATTTGAATAAACGATAGAATAACAAATCAGTCGACAAAAAAATATAGTGAAAACACTTGGTGTGTGTGTGTACGAAAGCTTCCATATTTCTATTGACCATGACACTAAATAACTCCCATTGTATCTCAGCGATCCATCTTGATTCTCGATGATAAGGCTATATAGATGAATGGTGGGTTGAACACCAAACATTGTTCGTTCATTTCTTTTCTTGTTTATTTATTTATTTATTTCTCCAATACCATCCTAAAACTCCAATAAAGCATTAATTAAAAAAACAAAATAGGACCATGCTTTGCATTTGAGTTTCATTTGGGGTTCATATTACATGCATTTAGTCCTCATTTGATATCTATTTAAGACAGCCAAAGGGTGGAATGCACCACTCAGGAACAAAAGGTTTGTAGGGTGGCTTCCTCAGCATAGCTAATTTACTTTCTCCACACTCCTCAACACACCAAATCTTGTTTTCCATCAAACCACAACTTTTCCAAGCACCCCAAAATCTTATAAGCAGACACAAAATCTAGGCAATGGCCCCCCCAGAAGTTCCAGTAGATGCGTTCCAGGCCACAAGCAAGGTCTCAACGCTAAGTTCTGCAGCCTATTCTAAGAGGGCCTTTGTGACATTTTTAGCCGGCAATGGCGATTATGTCAAAGGGGTTGTGGGATTGGCTAAGGGTCTGCGCAAAATTAAGAGTGCTTACCCTCTTGTGGTTGCCATATTGCCTGACGTTCCTGAGGAGCACCGTGAGATCTTAAGGTCTCAGGGTTGTATTGTCCGTGAGATCGAACCAATTTATCCTCCGGAGAACCAAATCAAGTTTGCAATGGCCTACTATGTCATCAACTACTCTAAGCTCCGTATTTGGAATGTAAGTACATACAAGATTACCGCTACTTCGTGTCTATGTTTTTCACGTAGCGATATCTGATATGTTATGTTATTAGACTATCGATCCTATAAATCTTATGATTACAATATTATATGTGCAGTTTGAGGAGTACAGCAAAATGATATATTTGGATGCGGATATCCAAGTGTATGAGAACATAGATCATCTGTTTGACACGCCTGATGGCTACTTCTATGCTGTGATGGACTGCTTCTGTGAGAAAACATGGAGCCACTCACCACAATACAAAGTTGGGTATTGCCAGCAGTGCCCTGATAAGGTTTCATGGCCTGCTGAGTTGGGCTCCCCTCCTCCTCTCTACTTCAACGCTGGGATGTTCGTGTTCGAGCCTAGCCGGTTGACCTACGACAGCCTTCTCCAGACTCTCCAAATCGTCCCACCCACCCCTTTTGCGGAGCAAGTAAGTTATATTAAATCAAGTACATATATATGTGGGAGTTAACTGGTGATTTACCCCCTTGAACTTGTGCTTAAGTTTCGATTTATTCCTTATTACTTTTTTAAAGAAAATTATGGACAAGAATGAATATTTTTTCGCTAATTTGCCCCCGAACGTCAAAATCTACCGCTTCCCATCCTTCATGCTGTCAAGTTGGAGGTTACTTTTGTCATTTCGTGTCTCTACCAAAACACCAACTTGACAGCATAAGGGATGGGAAATGGCAGATTTTGACGTCGAGCGGCAAATTGGCGAAAAAAAAATTAGTTCAGGTCCTTAATTTTCTAAAAAAAAAGGACAAGGGCTAAAACAAAACTTAGGTACAAATTCAGGGAGCAAATCACCAATTAAGCCTATATATGTGTGACAAATATGAATCTTGTTTTTGTAATTAATGATTTTTTTTTGTTTCTCATTTTTTACAGGACTTCTTGAACATGTTCTTCCAAAAGACATACAAACCAATCCCACTTGTATACAATCTAGTTCTAGCCATGCTTTGGCGCCACCCCGAGAACGTGGAGCTTGATAAAGTAAACGTGGTTCACTACTGTGCTGCTGTAAGTACTCTTTTAACAGATTGATTAAGCAAACCATGACACATAATTAGTCCCTCATTAATTAACGGAATCGTGTTAATCTCTACGACTAATTATAGGGATCAAAACCGTGGAGGTATACTGGGAAGGAAGCTAACATGGACAGAGAGGACATCAAGATGTTAGTGGCAAAATGGTGGGAAGTTTACAATGATGAGACCCTGGACTTCAAGGCTGAAAACCCAGCTGCTGCAGAGGAAGAAGCTTTCGTGAGGTCATCGATCATGGCTTCCATGCCTGAGCCTGCCATCTCCTACATTCCTGCTCCCTCTGCTGCTTGATATATATATATGAGAGACTAATTAATTATTGTTCAGAAGTTAATGGTGTGATCATCAGTGATCCTTTCTTTCTTCTTTGTCCTCTTTTTGGCTCATACATCTATAATATATACTCTTTATTAATTAGGATGCTTGGTTTGCTTGGCCTTATTTTCTTGGTCGTGACAGTTTACAGAAATCACATACATAGAGAAAAATATTATATGACATGAGAATATGTATTTTGTATGACTTAATTACATGTATTATATACAATACGTATATTTTAGTGTATTTGATATTATATATAACTTCTTCTTCTTTTTTTTTTTTTTGTGGGCTTACAATAAAACTTGAATTCTAACTCTTCTCTACCAAACACCCAACGCCATTTGACATAAAACTGAAATTCAACACGGTTCAAAACTCAGACTGAAACTCGGACTCGATTAATAATCCCAGCCCAATTCATCCAATTGGCAGTGGCTTCCAACCATTCTGTATGGCTGAAAACCCTCCTCCCACACACGTGGCAGTCTTATGACGGGTCTGGACCGAGGTGCCAAGGCCATCAGATAAATCGACATACATTGGATTTTTGCTCAGCTGTAGATTTTCTAAATGGTTTTTCAGACTCCATAGTTGTGCGATCACTCTCACGAAGACTGGACCGTGTATTTTGGTCCCATCCTCGTGAGTGTGATGCCATATATGACAGCCGCACAGAAGAATCACTGTAGTGCAAGCTCTCACATCATCCTCATGTTTACGTCAAAAACGGCCCATAGCCTAGCCTTGCAGAGACTTCAAAATCAAGTACAGCCACAGGTGACAGGTCACAAAAAAACAACACCACAACTGATGAAATTAAGATGGCCTTAAGGACAATTAATCACGCGACCAAATCGTGTGATCAATGCATTAAACGATTGTTACTTATGGTCATTTGTGTAAAACGACAATGGCACATGATTTAGCATAATCATATGAACAAATCACCTCAACTGGTAAATCATACCGTGTTGCGTTTTAACATATATCCATAGAGCTAAAAGCACCCTCTACTTCAAATTCCTCATCTTGAGATCCCGAGTCTTGCATGTGATCATCTTCAAAAAGAAAAGTTGGGATTTCTTTGCTTCTCTGGGGATCTCTATCATTCATTTCTACAACTGTAATGAGCCTTTCCTTTATACAATCTTCAACAACTTCCCCTCCAATTCCTTGAGATGGCAAGCCAAGAAAAGAAAAGCATTCTTTTCGGAATTCCGAGTCGTTGGAAGACAAGATTAAGCTAGAAATTGTTTTTGCAAGATCGGGGGCATAACTGCCAATCTGTAAAACCAAGGCAATCAGTAAAAGTCAACTACTAAAAGGGGGCCATAGCGTTGCTAAGCCAATGCAGCAAATGATTAAATAAAGATGCTTAACCATTTTTACATTAATAATACAGACATATTGCTGCATGGGATGTTCTGGAAGCTTTTGAAAACTCAACAGAAGTTAGAAAAAAAACACTTGTTGATTTTGAAATACCAGAAAACATATAAAATTGATCTTACTATTTCAACCCTTTAAATAGGATAATGTTATATAAGAAAACAGTTGGGCTTATAATAACATAAAATGAATTTATTGTTAAAATAAATGAGAGCCTATCAAAGTTTACGGATGTACCGTAAAGAGGAAAATTCAGGTTTCAGGTGTTTCCACACCATTGCATCATCTGTCATTTAAAAGTAGAATATATCTACCATATGGAGTTTGACAGAGTAGTAACAACCAACCACACAAGGTATGATCACATACAACAAAGACATAAAACTAAATTTTGGTGGAAATATTAAATAATTAGGGAATTCAACTTCATTTCAAGCATTTTAATCATAAGAATTCTAGCACTCCAGAATGAATAGTTTACCTTCGGAAATTGAATATTCAGCAGACATTTTGCTGCATAAACTAAATTTTTATAACATGTTTGCGTGTAAGACAATTCCAGCAATAAAGACGAAAAGTAAAACCCAATATAGGATAATTGCGTGTAAGAGAGTAACCACTGACGGCATTACCTAGTTATAGTGCAATTTTCTAGTCATTTATCTCATAGAAGAACCACTATGCTAGAAATTTCAAACTTGACAGAAAGCCGTGAGAGTGAGAAATTTACCTTCAGGGCTTGGGCACTCAGAAGAACTCCAGCAAAATTGTCCTTCAAATCATCCAATGCCAGTCTAATTGCTTTTTTAATAAGATTCTGATCACGTCGTGTCTTTAGCCTTCCTGATGGTATTGTAATCTTGGCAGTATGTCAAGGAACAGGCATATTCATAGAACATATGGCATATTTGGAAGGAACCAGAATGAAAAGCATGCAACGGGGAAGCTAACCATATCAAAGAAAATTAAGAATCGAATCCAAATTTGGATATTGTTCATGGTAGTGGTGCAGGACAATATCAATTTGAACATACGGGGGCAAGTTCTCCCATTCCACTAATGCAAAGCCACCCTGAACCACAACACTCCCAAAGCTCAAGCCATAACTTTTCCAGTCAATGCTAGTTAATGCCTTCAAAGAGGATTGAGGGATTGGGCAAGGTGAGAAATCTTTAAAATACAAAACCTGAAAATGAATATTTTCATTCAAGTTAAGCATAAACTTCAGAAAAGAAAATATGAATACGAGCATTAACAAAAACAAAAAAAATACATTTCCCCACCAAAAAACAAAAAGCAAAACAATGCATTTGTCACTTCTGTAATATTATTATCCTTTCCAGATGAGAACTAAAGAAAGCATACTTCTTAAATAAAAGTTTAAATTATCAGTAATGTTCTTAGACCTTACTTATAGCTTTATCTGATGACCATTACTTTATTTTAGGTTCCTTGCTATCATCATTAGTTTCAACATCAACAAGGTCAGTCCTATGCTTAAAGTCATTTGCACATGGTTTTGACTATGACGTATGCGTACCAGATAACATCATACCTCAAGACAATAGAGATCACACCCAATCCAAAGTTGAAAGTTCTATAGAGGCAAACAAGTTGAGAAAACAGTTCACCAATTGCCTTATAAAAATTCCATGCATAAATAAACACATGTTGGATTGAACCAAACCAAAATTCCAACAAAAGATTGGGAGGGGCAAACAGTTATGTAACTGCTGCCAATCACAAGGATTTTTAAGCATGCATCTGCAGGCTCACAAGTGACTGCTACACATTTTACGGTTAAAATAAAGTAAAAGAAATTGATAAACAGCAGAATAAAAGTGATCAAACAAACCTCTGTTTTCAAACCATGTGTCCTCAGGCAAGTACTGGCTACCTCTGATATTTCACTTATTACAATCACTGCTTCCATTACTGATCCAGAATACTTGTGGCTTTCTGTGCAACATGCTACTCCACTACCAACCTTGAGATGCTCCCTTACAAGAGTTTAAGTAGCAGTTAAGACTCAGAAAAGGAACTTTCAATTTCTGTCCCATGGAATCTCTAACCAGTTATAAAACAGTTGCAGTCTGATGTATTCTACTAACGTTTCAGTCAATGGCAAGTCGAACCTAATAGAGAAGAAGAAGGCATGAACTTCATAGTAACTTACCAACTTGAGAAGCACAACTCACATTTTGTGCTTAATGTATTCCCATGTTTAAAAACATAATCTTCAAGCCCCGACTTTAAACGTTCAAGATTTGAGGCTGAAATAGGCAAAGGATTCCATTCATTCGCTAGAAAAACATTTACGTATCTGGATCCAGGATCATCCCCATGTTCAACCACCAATTCAATTGCAACATTCTGGGGAAAAAAAGAAACAATTTCAGCTGATCGATTAACTAGTGCTGCAGTCACCATTGCAGTTAGGCACACTACTGTCCACATATTATATCAAGTAGATAAAACGTGCAAGGTTCCAAGTAAAACATGCAAGATTGCTGCAAAGTAGTTCCAAGTATTAACCGATACTTCAGCGGCACATTGTAACAATGTTTCAGTGAAATACAATATGATTGCTAACTTGAAAAGCTTTTGACACATAGAGCATTAATTTCTAAGTAGATCTCATCTTACAGGGATCTTTAGAATGAGGATCTTTTGAAAGAAGCGACTAAACTCTGCCACCAAAACATCAATGCTTTCGATAATTGATAGACATACTTCTGTCCCACTGGAAACCCAAAAGAAAAAAACACGAAGAAATTTAGACCATAATTTTAAAAGATAAATAAATAAAAGAAAATATTCAGCAGCACAAAAGTTGAAGTGATTTGCATGCCTGAATTTGAGTCCATTCTTAGGATTTGAAGGTAGCCTCGTCAACCTCCTGGCAGACACATTTTCTTTTAGATTGAACTGGTAGTGATATATTTCATCATAATCAATACCTGCAATTTTCGCAAGTTCATTCTTTTAGCAGCCTGTCAAAACCAAAAGTTCAAAACTCATCGTTTTAATCAAAACAAAGCATGGTGGTAATGTAACTGATGATGACTCACTGGTGGCTGTAACAAAAAGCAATCCATCTGCATCAAGAAGCTGCTATGTAAATTAAAACTGATATACAAAACCGCTAGCCAGGCAGTTTGGTCAATTCACTCGAGTCTTCTACTTACCCCAAATCTGCGCGCCAAAAGCCTCCTTACGAAGCTTTACACCTCCAAACTCCTCCAAGCAGCTTCCCACACCCGTATCGGAAACTGCTCGTACGGAAACCAAGGACAACTTCGTCATTTTACTAATCACTCACATTGTTCGCCACATTTCTTTAGACTACACCGTTTCATTTCTAATATAAAAATCCGAATTCAGAATGAGAAGCGCACAGAGATACCTGAAATTAGAACAGAGTGGGGATCGGACTGTGGAGAGCGCTTGAGAATGACGGAGAGCCTGCAAAGGTCCTCCGACGCATGGCATCGTTGAAATGCAGAAGAAATCAACTGTAATTGCATGTATATAAGTTTTTATATAAAAGAAAGAAAAATTACTAAAATTACAATCGAATCGATCGAAATGCTATGGAGATTAGGTTGAGCTTGAAACTCACTTGCAGGCAGAGGTCTCGAACTGAAGCAATAATCATATTTGTGTTTTTGGATTTTGGGAGAGAAATCGAAAATGAAACTCCCGCCGTCCCGTGCGAGAATGTAGCATATATATATCCTCACTCGCTGTTCTATCTAAAGAAGCATGTTTTGAATTGTGGGCTTGGATATGGGCCCAGTTTAATATTAATGGGCCTGCGTTTGAGCCCACGTGAATAAGACACGGACGTGGGCTGATTGCAATTATACGCATTCTTGGGCCTATTCTTGGATCTCGTTCCTAATATATTATGATTTATTTGTACCGTCCGATTTGATCCAGAAAGCTTTAGACCGTGGATGTATTGAGATTGAAGCCAGCAGTGAAAGTGGGAGTCAACTAACGGGTGCTGGACTCTGGACTTACCTATAAAAAAAACTAGGTCAAATTGATTGAAGTCAACAAAACCATATAGAACAAATTGACCGAAGTCAACAACCCCAGATTTTCAAGAGGGTTGACAATCTTAAGTTTTGATCAGTAAATGGCACGTTTTAATAGCTTCAGTTAATATAAATAATTAATTAATAATGAGCAATAGGAAAATATAATATTACAATTTGCATTTTAATTGGAATTTCGAATTTGGGTGTAGTGGAAATCCAAAATAATGAAAAGCTCATGGTGTTAGAGCATGTCCACCCATAAGGGCTAAGTCTAGGGCAAGGGCAAGCAAGGGCTGCCACTATTCATGTGAATAGTATCAGCCTTGCCATTTGTGGTTCCACCCATGAGGGCTAAGTCTAGGGCAAGTCTAAGGCAAGAAAGGAAAAAAATATTATGCAACAAAATATAAACAATTTAGAAAGTAAATAAAATTGTTATGTATTTATAGGAAAAGCATCTATAATTTTTTGGTATTTAAAAAAAAAAATTGAAATTTTTTTGGATTTTTTAAATATTTTTTTGCTCGCTGATGTCATCGTGACATCAGCGCTGACATCACAGCCCTCGGGCTGAAGCCCAGGCAAAACTTGCCCTTGGGCTTGCCCGGGCTAGTGGGACCCACGCCAAACCAGGCTACAAGCTGCAGCACTGGAGCTGCCTTGGGCTTGCGAGGGGGGCCTTTTGCCCGGTTCTGTTGCTGCGCTGGAGATGCTCTTATGATGGGAGTATTTTTGCTCATCACTTTAATTCAATGTGTATATTCATCAGCCTTTAAAAAACTTAACACATGTATATGAATATAACTATAGTTAACTCTTTATTTTTAAAATTTTAAAAGTATTTAAACTCAAAAATAAAGTCAAATAATAATAAAATAATATATTTAAAGAAAAAACTCTCTCTCTCTTTTCTCCCTTGCCGACCCACTCTACCCCTGAGGCTCTATTCTCTACAGCCACCCCAGCCACCATTCACTCCTTCACCTTGTTCACCCTCCACCACAACCACCACCCACACCGAAACCCCAAAACCCTAGCCACCCCCACGACACCACAAAGAAATATACAAACAAAGAGAAAGCAAGCTATTTTCTTGGATTTGGGGTTTGTGTATTGAGAGGCTGCTGCTTCTTTTGCTATAGCGAGAGAATAGTCTAGAGAGAGAGGGAGAGAGAGGGAAATGAATGGAAAGAGGGGATGGTGATGACTCATGAGATAATAAGAAATTGAAAGATGAACTATCAAATGAGGCTGGTCCTAAATTGATTCAGTCTCTCTGCTGAAGTTGGTATTTTTTATTTAATTTAATTTGCAATCCAATGCGTGTAAAGAAGGGAATTGTGGAGTTGAGGGAGGGAATGGTGTCTAGAGTTGCGGCATGGGAATGGTGTCTAGGGTTGCTAAGGGCGGTGGCTGTAGAGAATAAAGCCTCAAGGGTGGGGGTGGTTCAACAATGGGGTAGAGAGAAAGAGAGAGTTTTTAAAAAATGTTATTTTATTATTATTTGACTTTGTTTTTTGTTTTCAAATACTTTAAAAAATTAGAAAATAAAGAGTTAATTATGGTTATAGTCATAGACATGTGTCAGGTTTTTAAGAATTAATTATGGTTATAGTCATAGAGTTAATTATGGTTATAGTCATAGACACATTGAATTAAAGTGATGAGTAAAAATACTCTTGTTTTATGATAAATGTTGTGTAGAGAGAGAGACAAAGAAATAGCTGGAAAACAATGGGATTGGAATATAAATATAAGCACTACTATTAATACACATCTCTAGGTGTTGGTGGGAATCAAGCAACTAACCAATTATTGACTAGCATCTTATCACAAGTTCTATACATAATAAAAACATGGATGATGTATCTTTCTTTTTTTTTTTTTTTCCATTGACAAAGGTCAAGAAGATTACATGATTTATGATTTGGTAAGCAAGAACATCTCCAATCGAGATGTTACAATGTTACGTGAAGCTTCAATGTTTTAATAATAAAAAGAAGAAGAAGCATCACAAATTTTTGCAATCAAACGGGCTATTCTTATGTGGATTTGTTAAAGATGCAATTGCATAAATGTTTTTGAGAATAACCGATAGTAACTATTGATGAAAAGATACAAGTATAAAAAGTAATTATGATGCCAAATATGGACAAATATTCGTTAATGACAGAACTCAATAACAAATTGAATTGATCTGAAGTGATTACACATGAATACTGTTAGAATAATAAGTAGGAAAAAAAAATATATATATTTCCAAATAAAAGAAGGGCTTTAAAATGAAGATGGTTCTGAACTTCTGATACTGCCAAAACCTAATTAAAGCCTTCCGGTCAATAAATAGCATCTCTCATATGGGTGGAGTAGAGAGGACAAATTGATCTCCCATTGAAATGACACAACTACCCTCGACCAATACCCAATAGGCAGGCTTCAGGGCAAGGGTAGGTAGGTACCGAGGCCAACGAACCCTTCCCCCCCTTAGAAAGTCAAAAGGCTAGAAATTTAACATCAACAGAGTGATCGAGAAAATCCAACGCATGGTATATTATTGAAATTCGGTTTGAAAGGACCACCAGCAGCAGCAGCCACCAAAAAAGCAAAAACTTTATAAAATGGCTCCAAGGCAGAGATGCAGCAGACTGCAGACCAACAAGTACACAATTTGATTCGAGGTGCAGGAAAAGCTAAAGGAGAGACAGGCCGAGCCAAAATGGATATTGGGAACGTTGAAAGCAAACAGATTTCAGAACCCATCAAATCGGAAGCTCAAATTTCCCATCTTGCTTTGGATATTGGAGGCAATTCACTCTGAATTTTCATAATCTTCTGGCCTCTGTTAGATTTCTGATTTCTTGAATTCCATTTACTCATCTCTCCTGATTTTCTGTTTTTTTCTTTTGTTTGTTGCCAGGCTCTCTGATAAAGTTGGTTTATTTCTCAACAAACAGTGATTCTTCTTCTTCTTCTTCGAAGGACAGTGTAGCAGTTTCTAGTGGCAATGAAGGACGTACTGTTCTTCAAGGGAAGCTCCATTTTGCGAAGTTTGAAACCGCCAAGATAAATGATTGCATAGACTTCATTCGGTCCAAGCAACTTCGCCTTAGTGGTATGTTTCTTTCATTTTTATCAAATTTGGGAATGTTTGCTCCGGGGATTCATTTTTCACTGCTTGTGACTATTTGAGCTTGTTTTGTTCAACCAAGTAATGATGTTGGAATCTTGGATTGAAACTAGCATTTTTTATTGGTTCACGAGCTTCTGAAGAAGTGTAAGCCATACTGCTCTTCTGATTTGCTTAACAGCAGCTGACATTCATTGTGAAAATGCCCTCCACCCCTGTAAGTAAACGTTGGAGCATTGCAACTTCAACAAAAGTACCCTTATTTTTTATTGAGGAAATCAACCCAGTTGAAATTTCCTTAGTCTTGAAAGATTTCAGCTTCCAAAAACGAAATATGAAAGAAGATGATATTTTCCCTGAATATGACTGTTCATTCTCTCACACTCAGCTTCTTTCAGATACACTGTAATTGTTGTTATTATTTCTGCTACTTCTGGGTTATGTGCTTATGGTTGTAGATTATTTCAGACTGCCAGAAACATGGGGCTCCAGCTGGCGAGAAGTGCACTATTAAGGTAAAAACGATTGTTTACCTTGGCCGTACCTATATGACTGTGGAATGTGCTTTTGGAGTATGCGAATGTATTAACTTGTGACAATGGTGTGAAGGCCACAGGTGGTGGGGCATACAAGTACGCGGATCTCTTTAAGGAAAAGCTTGGGATTTGTCTTGACAAGGAAGATGAAATGGACTGTCTTGTGGCTGGATCAAATTTTCTGCTTAAGGTGGGATCCTAATACCACATACATAGATTGGTATGGACAAGTTGGTGCCTTTCTTAAGTCCTGTCATGTGTTGCATAGGATGTGTGGGTTGGGATTGGCAATAGCGTGCGCAAGATGAGAGGAAGTAACTTTTTTTTGTTTCAGAAGGAAAAGAAATGTGGATGAGTCATAAAATGTGAAACTTGCAAAATTCAGCTACTTCTGTAGAGATATTTATGATTCTTTAGGATACTGAAATATATGGATGAAGAAATAACGTGCTTATGTGCAATATAGATCCATTAAAAGAGTATAAAAAAATTCCCTTTGCGCTGTTTCAGTTACAGAACTGGCGACAATATTCTTGACATTCTTTTTTGCATTATGAGTTCCTTGCCTGACAATAACATTCACATTTTGATTGTTATTTAAGTAGGCAGTTCACACCGAAGCATTCACATACATGGATGGTCAGAAGGAATTTGTGCAGATTGACCATGATGATCTATATCCCTATATGCTTGTTAATATTGGTTCTGGTGTCAGTATGATCAAGGTATTCTCGTAGTAAAAATCAGATACTTTAGTTACTGAATTAGCTTCATATATTTAACTTTTAAAGGCTTGACAGTGTTGTCTATGTTGTGCTTATATAGGTAGATGGACCTGGTAAGTTTGAGCGAGTAAGTGGAACCAATGTTGGTGGCGGCACCTTTTGGGGTTTGGGGAGGCTTTTAACAAAGTGCAAGAGGTATACGCTTTCTCTTGCTCATCTTTATAATTATTGATATTCTTGTTATATGATTTTCTTAAGAACCAAAGCTGTAATTGTGTCTCAGTTTTGACGAGTTGCTGGAATTAAGTCATCGGGGAAATAATAGGGTGATAGACATGCTTGTTGGGGACATCTATGGTGGAATGGACTATACAAAGGTATATGCATATTCTTGATAGACGGGTCCCTCTGTCGATTTAGTATAATGAATTATTTCTGGTTTTGGTATTTCTGTATGTCAAGTTAAAGGGTTCCTAAATTTAAAAGATACTGAGGGGCTCCTAGTTTCCATTAACTTTCATCTCACGTTTATTAACTGCAACCATTACTTTTCTGATGATCGCAGATTGGTCTTTCATCAACAACCATTGCTTCTAGCTTTGGCAAGGCAATTTCTGATAACAAGGAGCTGGAAGATTACAAACCTGAAGATATCTCTCGATCCCTCTTAAGAATGATTTCAAATAATATTGGACAGGTATGGCATGGTGAAAAACAAATGACTTCCTTGCAATGAATCAAATTTCTTTAACTATTTAATTATGTCAACCTTTACCATAAGAGTTAATGACTGTTTTTGTCAGCATGCCTATCATATTGTTTCTTTATGTATCTTGTCTCCAGATCTCATACTTGAATGCACTGAGATTCGGGCTCAAGCGGATATTTTTTGCTGGATTTTTCATTCGGGGTCATGCTTACACCATGGACACGATTGCTGTTGCCGTTCATTTCTGGTAATCATGATGGATTTTCTTTTTCTTTTTCTTTTGCAAGCATCAGAACTGATTCATGTTCAGAATTTAAGTATAAATTATCTAAAAAGAATCTTCAAAATAGAAATTTGATCCCATGCATACAATGCCTTGTTGATGCCACAAAAATGGTCCTTTCTGGGTTGTGAGCAGATTTGCTCTTCCCATTCTGGCGTCAAATCACCAGGAAGGCCGTCATACTCTGCCTGATTTGGCTTTGTTTTTACTCTTCCATTTTTTTCTCATGGTTTTGGGTTAAAATGTCATTCATTTGATCCTTCTTTGCAGGTCTAAAGGTGAAGCAAAAGCAATGTTCTTAAAACATGAAGGATTTCTTGGAGCTTTGGGTTCATTCATGAGCTATGAAAAGCATGGCTTTCTTAACTTGAAGGTCCACCAGTTGGTGCAACAATCTCCAGTGGATGCATACCATGGAGGAGATAAGATTCATGATCCACCAAACGGGGAATTGAATGAAAATCGAAGTATAGATTGCAGTATCTGCCTGTCATAAAAATTGCGTTAGATTTTCTCCTCCTGGAGTTTGGATACGAGAACTGAGAGGCAACTCTTGGTTGCCTGTCTGCAGTCTGTGAAACTCAATGACTCGAAACTTGCGTAGCATATGTAACATTGTCTATAAAATTACTAGGGACATGTATGCAAAAGTGAAGAAAAATTCAGATGAAGAAAGAGAGAGAACTCATATATTGTACACTGTAACTTATGTATCGTAAACATCTGTCTAGATTTTGTAATTTGTATTTCTTTTCCAAAATATTGTAACTGCGCTTCATTATTCAATAAAATGAATTCCTGACTCTCATTGCAGGCTTTTATTTAATTTTAGCTTTTAAACTTTTTTCTTCTTCCGCTAACTGTGCCAGTGTGCAGCAATTTTCCTTTTGTTTTTATTTTTCCAGAATCAAGATTTGTTCCACTTATTAGGGTTTTCGGATATAAATAGTAAAAGAACGAAAGCTGTAATTCAGTCATAGTCGCAGGCACCGTCCTTGCCCATTGCACCCGTTACATGTATAAATTCTAGAGAGAGAGATGAGGACAAACACATATACAAACCATCTAATTTGATGTTTGCTGCAATTTATAACATCATCTTTCAAAGGAACGTTGATTTAGCAGATAGGTGGATACAACAAGAACACTATACAACATACATGAGGATTGAATCCTTGATCTCATCCTCCACCCTCATCTAAAGGGAGAGGAGTCTCCACCGGGCCAAAAGGCCATTACACTTGACAGATAAAAGAAATATTGATGGACCTTTCAACTTCCATAAATAGGGAATACAGATAAGGAGCTTGCATTAGTTACTAACTAAACACAGGTTGGATCATTTGGCAGTCGGTAGCCTCCGATGATATTGCTTTGCATTTCTCCTGCGCAGGGCCCATCTTTCTTTTATGTTAGATACATTATCAACCTGACTAAGTATTTCCTGATCCTGAGACATTTCAAGCTCTTTATTAGACTTCTCAGGGTTTAATTCTCCTCGTATTCTGGCAGCTTCAGCAAGCAGATCATTTATCAGCATCTCGGTGGTCTTGCTGGTGATACCCCTTAGATACCAAGAAATGGGAGGGGGTGGAACAATAGCTGGCTGGATCAGTTGCTCCAAGCTGACCTTTGATCCAATCCTCCCTTTGCCTCCAGTGCATGAATGATAATCTGTCCATGTCTTGGGTTTGAAGGGAAAGCAGGTCCTTTCATCGACAAAAAGAGGTTCCACTCTCCAGCAGCCTTCAAATCTCTTCATAAACCCTGTTTTGACTTGCTTGAACTTCATCTGGCAAATGTCATTCTTAGATATTAGAGAACTGATTTTCCCATGGCATTAAAGAGATCATTTATCCTTAACCCAGTCACGTCCTACGTTGGATATAAGAGCAAATTGGGTGGAGTAATGAATTACTGACTGGTCTGTTTCAGAACATTATTTTCTACACATTTTTTTTAATACCCAGAAATTAACCAACAACCCCCCCTTCCCCCCTTTCCCCTTGGGAGGCAGGAAACACTAGCAAATAGCTAGGTAGGTACCTTTGGGGGTTTCGAACCTCAGACCACATGGGAGCAAACCGTGGGCCTGCAATTCTAACTAATATATGTAATGCAGACAAATAAAGTATAGTGGAGATCCTGAATCTGATGGGTCAACATCACAAACCTGATATCCACTTCATGCAATGCCACTGAAAGTGTGAAATTCCTTTTTTTGGGTGAAATAAGGAGAGTAAACTATCAGAAAACTAGATAATTTAGCTCTGATCCACAGATGGGGAAAATTGAAGCTTCAGCAAATTGGTTGAAAACTGCTTCAAAATATCAAGTAAATATAGCAACAACAATTATAAAATATGTACTTGATCCATAGACACTGTTTCTGTCACCCACCAGGCCTAAATAGATGTTGAGGCTTATGGTATGCACATGTATGACAGAAGAGAGAGAATGTGGAATAGCAACAAAGAAGCAGTTCTTAAGTCACAGCAACAAGAAGATGATGAAGTCCTTACTGAATGGTCTTCTCTGTTTTGATCTACTAAAACATGAACTGCAATGGTCCCTGACCACCAAAGGAATCTCCATAAAGCTGCTTGCTCAAGTTCAACCACCTGCCTAGAACCTTCATCAACCAAAACTTTTCTGGATATCACTTCCTGGGACAGATACCTAGCTTGTCAAATTGGCGAATACACTTTCATATAAAAAAGTATGCATCATGACAGGGGAGTAGGGAAAAAAAATATAAAAACACCCACATAGATCGAATAAAAAGAAAGTCAATTAAATAGTATCACTTGCCTTAATATTCTTGAAAACCCTCTTATTGTCAGGGTCAGTTACAATGTTATATACTGCATCTGGGGGCAACCCAACATTGACACTCACACTGAGGTTGCAAAGCGAACCTTTTGGTACACTGACCTGCAAAGAGTAAGAATATGTTGTGGCTTAAGGTTAGTAGATACACAGAGAAGTCATAAACTCTTGAGATGCTCCTTCCAAAAGAATGGTGGCATGATATTTGCAATCACTAAAACATTCTTGTTTCTGGTCTAAATTATTTCTCTTAACCAGCATATCCTACATAAAAGTATCCATGTTAAAGGAACAGAAGCATGGTTTGCTTGCTTACACACTAACATTAGTATACACATGGTGCAGTGAGTCAAAAATCAAGATTATACATGTCAGAACCTGATTGATATGAAATATTTCTTTCCAAAGGACATGACAAATATTGCTTAAAAAATTGAGTTAACTTTCTTTGACGTCCATTACCAATCACATTTGGCATACAACAAGCTTACAACAGGACAAAGCCAATTTAGTCCCACACCAATGGAAACTAATTCGGTAGAGGGAAGCACATCTCTCACCTTTATATGTGGTGGTTGATCAGCCCATGAAGGATTTTCTCTCCATGCCTGCAACTGCTTCTCCAAATCAACCTCCAAAGATGTAGCCTTTTTAGAGACAGAGCTAACTGTTTTCACTCCATCATCTTTTGCCAGTCTCTTGAGCTGTGACTATTACATTAAAAGGGTATTAAATCCACATATCAAATCAAAATCCATAAGAAAATCACAAGCTTTTTGTGAAAATGACTGACCTTTAGACAATTCTGCAGCTTGTGAGGAACCTGCAGAAGAGTTTTAGAAAACACCAGATCAAATGCCTTGAGGTGCCCATTTCTCTCATTCTTGGTGACGTTTACGCTTGTCGTGGTCACCTCTGTCTCGCCCATTAAAGCTGGAACTGTTTGAAAACACCAGTTCAATGAACATTTTCATTAATTTCATAACTTGCACATGGGAAAGTAAACATTGACTTGGTTATGTTAGCTTATAATGGTTGCCTACTGTTTAACGAAAATTAGAAAGTAGTTAAAGACAGGCTAAGATGTTTTAAAATCCATTTTTTCTTCTTCTTCATTTAAAAATTAGTGCCTCAAGCCAACAATCAATCAAATAATAACAAAATTCAGTGGCCATTCTATATCCCAAGCTGGTAAACCCAAACACTGAATACATATTTGTGACCAAATTGAATTTGATAAAAACAATTCGCCATCTGCATTACCCATTAACATCTGCAGCAAAGTCAAGACCTTTAGTAAGGCAAAATCAAGAAAAAAAATGACCCATCTCAAATTCTAGAGAGGCAAACAAAAAAACAGAGCACCGAGACGCACATAAACTGGAGAAAGAAAACCCCATAGCACTGGAAATTAAAAGAACCCAGTAATGATAGCTCAAGAAGAATAAACGAGCCACAACTGGACTAGATATTGAGCAGGGAGATAAAATGAAACGAATGGTTCACTTACAGTTACAGAGAAAATCCAATCAGAAGAATATTCATTCCAGTCTCCAATTTATGAAGCTGATCCAAGAATCTGCTGTTTTTAATTCGCTGTTCATTTTTTGATTACTTTTGTTCAAACTTTCTACAGATTTTGGAGAAGAGCAAGCACGTGATGCACATGTAATGCGCAGCCAGCACTGAACTTCATCACTCAAGTAATAATCTAATGGTGGCGGTGCCTACACTTTGGGCTGTGGACCCCATGAGCTAAGGCCAAGTGTGAAAACAATAGTTTGGTAGATGCCTAAATATGGGCCTTTCACATTTGGTGGATGATTTGGTCCAAGATTGTGGATCCCATATAAGCCCTATAACTCCTTCAAGTTATTTGAATTCACATCCATTATATATAAAATAAAGTCTCTTGTCACAATTTATTTATGAAACAATCTTGGGCAGACAAAGTATTGTCATTAATCATCATGAGAATATGAGATAGCAGAAAGATATCCACCCTCAACATTCATAAGTTCATAACACAACATCTCCACTCTTTCGGATCACAATTTTACATCATCCCATAAGCTTAAGCCTCTTGACTTATGTAATTAGCATAGCACACAAACACCTTTGTATAAAGAGTAAACAGACAGCACAGTTACAAAAACCAGAAAGATACTGTAACTCGGATAAATTCTCAAACTTTCCGGCACACATCACCATCACAAATGTATCCCTCCATTGCATTTGGAGCATCAGCTTTTGTTCCTTCCTTGTTGCTCAAAGCGCATCTTGGGTGGAGATGAAAGTCACATTCTTTGCAGTAAAACGACCAACCACTTCCCGGCTCCCTACACCAGCAAACATATTCGTGGTGAAGGACCCGGGTGAGCTCATGTTCAGCATGGAGTTCACTCTTCACTTTCTCAGGCCACCCCCTTGCTTCTTCCTCTAACTTTTCTTCCAAATGCTTCAAATGCTCTTCTGTGAATGGATATGCATCAGCTCCATATGCTTGTATGAGCTGCCGTGCTTGCGTGCTGAGTGTCTGGCCATTGGGGCTAATGGCTACCAATGCAGGAATGCCTTGGATTTTGAATTTGCGCTGCACTAATGCCTTCCTTGGATCACCTAGCGGAAGGGCTAACCAAGGCATGGTCAAAAAGAACTCCTTGAAGGAGGAATGATCACGATCACTTGAAATGAAGATAATTTCAAATGCACTATCCTTTGCCTTAATCTGATTGTATGCTTTTATAAGCTTAGGCATGAATGCGCGACATGGGGGACACCAATGAGCTGAGAAATAGAGCATAATATGCTTCCCAGCAAGCTCAGACACTGGTACCTATAATCAAAGATAGAACAGAAACTTGAAAAACACAACTAGAAAACCTCTAATTAATGACCATAAAGAAACCTTTGAAATTCAATGGCATGAAAGATTAGAAAAGATTGGAGATTTTGAACCAACAAGAAAATTGTACCTTGGAACCGGTCTTTTCAATCACAAAGTTTCTGTCCCCAGCAACCAACAGTGACTCCAGAGTCTGTTCTTCGAGTTTTGCCTTTGAAATCTCAGCAAGCTCAGCAATCTTCTCTGCTGTAAACGGGTAGGCTTCAATGCCATACTCTTCAATGAGTTCAACCGCATTTGGGCGTAAGGTCTTCCCATCTTGCCCGATTATAACCAGTGTAGGTACATTTTCAAGCTCAAAGTAGCGAGCGAGTTTTTCACAGCTCTTGGCCTTAAATGGCAATGCCAACCATGGCGCTTGAAACCCTTCTTTGAAGTGTTCCTCTTCATAGTCTAGAGATATCAACACAATCTCAAAGTTCTCTCCTTTCTCCTTGAGTTTCTCATGGAACTTCAGAAGTGTCTGAGTAAAATCTTTGCATGGCTTGTGAGTATTAAGTGAGAAGTACAGGCCAACCATCTTTCCTTCAAGCTCAGATACAGGAACCTGCAAATACATGTACTCATTATCATCAACTATCCCATTCATGTAAAAAAGAAAAGAAAAGAAAAGAAAAAGGACAACCCAATATCACAGAAGTTCTAGCAAAGTTGGCATGGGACAAAAAGTTGTACCTTACTCCCATCTTTCGAAATCAAATAATCCCGAGACCTAGAAACCAAGAGAGAACTCAAGGACTGATTCTCCTTAGCAGCTGCTTCTTGCTCTTTCAAGAAATTGATCTTTTCCGCGGTGAATGGATAACCATCAACACCATGTTCCATCACAACTTTAGTCCCTTGATCAGTAGAAACCTTCCCATTGGCATCAATAATGACAAGATTAGGAATCCCCCTAACCTTGAACAACTCCTTTAAGCGTTTTCGGGCCTCCAAATCCGAAAATGGAATGGCAAGCCAGGGCATTTCAGAGAAGTAGCCACTGAATGACTTATCATCTCTATCAGAAGAGATAAACACAACTTCAAAATCGCCTTTGGATGCCAAGTCCTGGTAAACCTCCACCAAGCTTGGGGTGAAACGGCGACATGGACCGCACCATGAGCCAGAAAAATACAACCCCACAATCTTTCCGCTCAAACTACTGATCTCAACCTACATATTCATCAAAGATCACCATGACCCAGAAAATCAAACAGAGTCATCTCAATCTGTTTTTCATATAATCAAATGTCAAAGTCAAAACTTTGAGATGAAATTGGGATAAAAAGCAATTGCAAATCATTTAATCAACTGGGTTTCTTCTATAACACATTTAGATGAGCATTCTAATATTCCCAAACAAAATGCGAACACTTCGGTCTGCTTTTTTCTTCTCCAATCTCCATGAACATAAAGATGAAAACTTTATCAGAAATAATCAATTTCTGAGTATGTTTTACCTGGTCGGCGTTGTTGCGGACGAGGAAGTTCCTGTCCTCGGAGGAAAGCAGCGAAAACAGGTCGTGAACAACGCCGTCTTCGTCGCCGTTGGCCATGCCTGCTGAGTCTCTTGTGCTGTATTTTTGGTAATTAACTTCGCCGGGTAACTTTTGTGACTTTTTGAGGTTCGTTGAGACCACTAATCACTGAATATAATAACGCGCAAACACGCAAATAGGAGCTGGCTGGCTAAGTGATTGAGTTTGATGCTTTTTCTGTATTATTAAAATATTATCTCTCTCCTCCAATCTCCATAGAGATTTTCAGACTCTTTGTTTTTTAATTAAAGAATAATGCTTGTTCTTTTTTAATAAGATAATGCTTGTTGTTGAACAACAATAAATAAATATAAATCATGGAGCATAAAATCCCCTTAGACCAAGTCTTGTCACGTAAACAGCAACTTGTATGAAACTGGGATTAGTCCTCCAAAACAATAATTAACAAAAGGATTTATAAGAAGAAAAAAAAACCTTCCAACAAAAAAACAGAAGATAAAAAACAAGATCGTGGTTTTGTTAACAGAATATAATATTATTTTATTAAATAAAAAAAGTTGGCCACGACTTTGGATCCAGGCTCCTTTATTTCGTGTTTATGAGAAAAAGAAAAGGAACCTTTCCTGTGTAGGCCATGGGCCATGCCTGTTTTGCCTGCCCAACATATTATATACACATGTTGGCAACGTGCAAATAATCATCAATTGGAGAGGCAATATGAGCTACTACATTTATGTCAATATCAATATGACATAAATGCAGAAGTTTTACTTTTTGTGTTTTTGATATATTATTTTTGCATACGTGTCAAATTGTAATTCGCAGGAAGGAATATCTCCTTATCGGTAAGGAGGCAAGGAGTATCCTTATAATTATATTAAAGTGATGTGTACCTTTTTATTTAAGCAATATTGATATAGGAGAATCAAATACATGACATTACTAGACATTAAATACTAGAATAAAACATTTAACCACTTGAGCTACAAATTCTTAATAAAACGATAATGGAATGAAACAAAGACAATGGAATGAAATGAAATCACAGATCCTAGCAATGGAATGAAACAAAGACAATGAAATGAAATCACAAATTTATGTAAATGCACAACCTCACTAGATCTTATAATAACATAACACTGCAGCATCTGAAACGACATAAACAAGTCTATAATAATCTCCATATGCGATTTTAAGCCTTAAATCACACACATACTTCTTCTTAAGCTTTTTTACACACATCACCATCGCACTTAAATCCTTCTTGAGGAGGATCCTGTTCCTGCTTGGCATCACTTTTGGTTCCTTTATCTTCCTCTAATGCACACTTTGGGTGGAGATCAAAGTCACACTCCTCACAGTAGAATGACCACGCCCCTCCTGGTTCACCACACCCGTCGCATACATAATTTTTACGGCGAGCAAGCGCGAGCTCGTGCTCCTCATGCTGTACACTCTTCAACTTCTCAGGCCACCCCTTTGCCATCTCCTCAAACTCTGTTTCTATCTCTTTCAGCCGCTCTTCAGTGAAAGGATAAGCATTAGCCCCATGCTGCATAACGAGGTTTCTTGCTTCTTTTGTGACTGTTTGGCCAGTAGGACCAATGGCTACAAGCATGGGGATGCCTTGCACCTTGAATCTGCGGCTCAAGGATGCTTTTCTCGAGTCACCAAAGGGAAGAGCAAGCCATGGCATTCCAGAGAAAAACTCATCAAAAGCGCCTTGGTCTCTGTCACTAGAGATGAAAATAACTTCAAATGCATCATCCTTTGCCTTAATCTTGTGGTAAGCTTCAACAAGTTTTGGTAGAAAGGCACGGCATGGAGGGCACCAATGAGCTGAGAAATAAAGGAGGATGTTCTTCCCCACTAGATCTGATACAGGAATCTGAATCCACAAATAATAGTTGTTATTAACTTATTACCACAAACAGACAAAAGCACACACACACATAGAGGTCATCTGCCCTGACAAAAGGAGCCTGTGGGATTTTTTCCCCACAATGCACAAAAGAATATCACTTTTGAAACCATAAAAGGAGGTTAAAAGCTATTATCTTACCTCAGTTCCACCTTTTCCAATGACAAAGTTTCGATCCCCAGATACCAAAATTGACTCCAGGGTTTGAGCTTTCTCCTTTGCCTTTTCTATCTCAATGAGCTCTGCAAACTTCTCTGGGGTGAAGGGGTAAGCCAGAACCCCATGCTCTTCAATGGCCTCAGCAACGTTCTTATTAAGAGTCTTACCATCTGCCCCAATAATAACCAAAGTGGGTAAGGTTGAAAGCTCAAAGTACCGAGCCAACTTCCCAACTTTTTTGTCCCCGATGGGTAAAGAAAACCAAGGCATGTTCTTAAAATCTTGCTTGAATGATTCTTCATCACCATCAAGTGGTATCACCACAACCTCAAAGCTCTCTCCATTTGCTTTTAGCTTCTCATAAACCTCCACAAGTTTTGGAGTAAAGTCTACGCATGGACTGTATGTAGACAATGAGAAATAGAGACCCACTATCTTCCCTTCAAGTTCAGAGACAGGCACCTTAATATATGCGCACATTGAGAACAAAAGTCAGATTGGAGGCCGAATTACATTTTATGATAATATGTATAAAATATGAGACTAGTAGTTACTAGCATAAACAAGCAGTGACATTGAAACTTACATTCTTTCCGTCATTTGAAATTACAAAGTCACGTAAGCTAGAGACCAAGATTGTTTTCAAGGACTGATCCCTTCTGGCTGCTTCTTCTTGATCATTTAGTTCTTTTATCTTTTCTGGTGTAAAAGGGTAGCCGTCTACTCCATGCTCCTGAATAATCTCAACTCCACTGTCACTCAAAACTTTGCCATCTTCACCAAGGATCACAAGATGGGGTATCCCTCTGACCTTGAACAGTTTATCCACACGATCACGCGCCTCTTTATCAGAAAACGGAATTGCAAGCCATGGCATCTTGGAGAAGTACCCATTGAATGACTCATCATCTTTATCAGCTGAGATAAATACAACCTCAAAATCACCTTTGGGAGAAAGTTCATTGTAGGCCTCCACTAAAGACGGGGTGAACCGTCGACATGGACCGCACCATGATGCAGAAAAGTACAACCCAAGCCTTTTCCCCTTCAAGCTTTCAACTTTAATCTGCAAATCAAGAATTTAACAAATGATTCCTCTCTCATATTATCCCCACAGGATCCTAAAATATGACAACCAATGCCTATGCTCGATCCAAACCACTCTATATCTTAAAAATCAATATGCTTTTCCACTATTTCAGTGAACTTTTATAATCACTCCATTTAAATAAACCACTATTCGAATTAATACATTGTACACATATCCGAACAGATTAGAATTCAAATTCATATATGTGTAAAAACTATATAACTATTGAGCATATATACACAAACAAATGCTGAATACAGTTCACCCATCCCTGATATGAACTTAGCCTAACCCAATCCAAAACCTTGCAAACAGAGGAATTGAAGATAGTAACTTGGTTTTTCTTATGACACTCAAACTCAACCTCCATTTATTTTCTAGTTGCGAATATATCTATCTACCACTATGATGACAGACCCAATTCAAAGACCCCACATGACTCTAATTGTGTTTGTGGGTATTGTTTGTGTTAGCTTGATTTTTGTAGTGGAGTTTGCATTGAGTAGCTTGTGGGTTTGTGACCACAAAACAGAGATAAGGGGTGGCGATTGAGGAGTTTGTTGGTTTAGCCACACTCCCCATAATCTCCTATGGCTACTTCAGGGCGGAAGGTGATGAAATTGAAGGTTAGAGCATCTGACAGGGATGAGGGAGAAGGGAGAAGTTGGGGTGTGGTGTTGGTGGGGCGGTGGGGCTGTAGGGTGGGTCGGGCTGTGGTGGTTGTGAAATTGGGTGGGAGGGGAGGAGGTCGTGCAGGCAAAGATTTATCCTTTTTTTATTTTTTATTTTTGTAAATATATATATATATATATATATTACAGACTTATAAACTTGAAGAGTAAAGATAGGTATAAAAGTGGTAGAAAAATCAATTTTGTGTATGCAACCCTACCAAAAAACCTTAATGCATCAAACTCTAAAACTCGGTCTGTATTAAAGTGAAAATTACCCTATATTCTATTTGCAAATACATCTACGGTCTACCTACCAGTGTGATGACATACCCAATTCAACGACCCCAAATTGACTCTAATTCCACGACTATCACAAATTTTCCCATGACCCGTATTTTCCATATAAATCTGTAGAAAAAAACTGATATTTAAATCCATATAAAGATTTATATTATTTTAACTTACCCAAAATACGTTTTCTGAAAGAGAGAAAAAAAAAAAGCAGCGAAAAACACGTTGTTTCTTCTCTGTTCTGTCGCTCAAGAAGTTTGTAGCCGCTGCCTCCTCCTCCGATTCTCCATACACAGCCTAGCGTCACCGATCCCGAAAAGTGTGACCAACCCATCATTGAATATCCGCTTCAATACTCTTAAGTTAAAATAAGCATGTTTGGGTTGGTCACAATTTTGGATGGAGGAGGCTGTGGGTAGCGGCTACAAGCATGTTTGACACAGAACAAAGAAGAAAGAAAGTGTGTTCTTTTTTATTTTTTTTCTCAGAAAACATATTTTGGTTAAGTTAAAATAATATAAATATTTATATGGATTTTTAAATCATGTTTTTCTACACCCTTAGTTAGAAAATATACCTGATCACCATTGTTGCGGACAAGAAAATCCCTCTCGGAACAAGAAAGCAGAGAGCGAAAATCGTGGGGTTCGCTGTTGACCAGCTCAGCCACGTTTTGTTCACTATCGGACATATTGGTTTTTCCTGGGTTTTCTTCAACAGGATTGGATTAGATTGTTTAAAACTTAAAATTAGAAGTTGCCGAGCTTGTGATGTGTTGTGAAAATGAGGGGTTTGGGTTTGAGCGGGGAACTCAGGGGCTCTATCTATTTATAATGACCGAGGACAAAAACATTATTCATTTCTTTTGCTGGCCTCTATTATTATGTTCTTGGAGAGTGGGAAAAAGCAAGAGCATCTCTTCGGGACTTGCGTTGAATGCATCATCTTGCATGCGTCAGCTTTTTTGTTTTTGTTTTTGTTTTTGTTTTTTTAGTACAACCGATAGACCAAATGGAGGGGAGGAAGGGAGATTTCTCATACACACACAACTGTCATATAATGGGGGTTCGAACTTGAGGCTTCTGGTTTGCAAGTCAATGCTATTTTCCATTGGGGGGTCAGCCTATTAAAACTCAATGCAAATCTAAAATATATATTTTTTAAACTTAAAATTTACATATATCAA